AATGATGGTCTGCCTTACACTCTAATGATGGAGCCATTTTGGTGCCCTTCATTTGATATGCCCTTAACTTCATTTCAAAGATTTTCGTCAGTCAGAAGTGCCTTATTTTGACTGCGGAGTCGACAGCAGGTATGTCTCAAGCATGGAGTATAGGCTGCTGTTTCCTTCCAACAGAGGGGGCACTTATCAATTTTGAAATGAAAATGGTAAGAGATCTCAACTGGGGCTTTAACCTGTGGTCAATCGGTTCTGGGTTCGAGCTCTACCGAGCGAACAACCCCGATGTGTATCAAAATAGGGAATTCGTAGTTGCAAAAGTGATTGCCATATGGCAGAATGGAACCCTGCATATTCGGACTTCGAAATCGACTTCTTAGCCACTAGACACAACGCCAGCCACGCGATCATTTATGCTGGCCATCGCTCTATAATATTCGGACACCTGCGCTGCGTGGAAATGAAACTGCCAAATGCCAAAACACAGTTGACCCAGGACAAGCTTCAATGCCCCCCTAATCACGTGCAAAAATCAATGACGATTCCAGTTGCCCTCGTTTGCCAGGTTTCCCAAATTTCAGGCTGTATTTGGTTCTCTTCCCCAAAATGTGGAAAATTTTGAAATGTTGTGGTCTGCCTGAACACATCGTCTCCATGCTGGAAGAGAAGCATGCATTAGTCATGTCTGCTGCCACAGTCGAACGGGAGCTACCTGTGAATTTCATCAGGAAGATGTGCGTTCATGTATGCTATTCAACACAGTTATAAAATTTTTTCTGGAAAATGATGCTGGCCCTGATAGAAATTAACGTCTTATTTTTGAGGGAATGATCCGTTCAAGATAGATATCAAAATAGACATCTCGCTGGCCTAGAGTATGAGATAGTAATGTCCTGGAGAGTAATATTAGACTCTATCACGTGACCACGCCCTATGCGACACAGCTGCTAAAACTTGCCCCTTTCTTAACACCCGGAATTCGACAGCTATTAGAAACAGATTCACATGGCTGATTTACACGTAGAACAGTGAGGTGTAAGGAAGTTAAGCAATTTGAGTGTCTTGACTCCATAATCTCCAGCGAGGGCACCATTCACTCAGAGTTAAATAGGAGGATAGCCATAACTTCGAATGATTTTGGAAAACTGGAAATTCTTGGGCTGAGAAAGGAGCATGTGTTTCTACAAAAGTTGCCCTGTACCTTGCCTCTGTCAGGTTACTGCTTTTATACGGCAGGAGACAGTGGTTTTAATGAAAGAGCAAGAGCGACGGTCGAATTGTGCACAACGGCGTTGGTTCTCATGGGTTGAATTGCAGGTCCACGAAAGGAATGGAGTTAATCTCTTTCAGGACAGGCGACCTCAGTAGATATGGGCATCAAGAAAAGGAGGTTGGCCGTGTTTCGTAAACTGTTTGAGAATATTCCGTTTACTCCAGCCGATGACTTCTCATATCCTAACCGAAACACGGTAGACATCGTCCGGGATGCCAGCATGGAACCAGGAGGAAGAAGAGAGGTTGACTTTCGCTCAGAGAGAAATAGTTCCTTCTCGTAGCAAACAAGTTATAAAGCTACCATTACCGAATACAGGGATTATCAGAAATCAGAATAGTTCTGTTTATGCAGACTGCTCAAGGAGGTGAACCTAAGAAACAACCATAAATGCAAGGGGATGAGCGGCACACGTATGCCATGCAAGCACGAAGAAGTAACAGACACGTGTTTCGATTGTAATGATGATTAAGTGCATGAGAACCGACCTTCTGAAACTGCAGAGAGATGCGGTTGCAATAGCCGAATTTTCGGTATGACAAACTTCTCCGCTGGGGGCTTCACGGTGGCGTAGTTTTTCAACTTCAACGTGTCTTCCGGTTCGTTTCTGGTGGGTTGTGTTTGGAACGAATTTCCCGAAGAGGAACTATGGATTCTGGAGGGAGCCAGTACACCGTCAGCTTGTTGTGAAGGCTTTGCTGCGGCGTTTTCGAGCGCAGAAGTCGCCTCGTCGGTAACAGTAGAAGGAAGCTGGTTCGAAATGGGAACCATCTCCACGACTGTGCTTTTTGGGACCGCGGCTTTCAGCGGAACGCAGTCGGTAGCGTCGTTTTCGTGAGTATGATTCGACCTCCGCTGCTCGGTGGGATAGGCTGCGGTTTGGAATGTACCAACCGGCTCTTCGATGCCAACGGTGCTCCTGTGTTTCAGCTGACTGCGGATGAAAATCGTAGTAATAATCATGACCAAGAATAACGCAGCTACAATCAATGGCCACATGATCACCGAGGGCCAAAGTTTACTGGCACTCTTAAGACCTTCCTTGATAACCGCAAACGAAACAGGTACTGGCCTCGTTGAATGATCTAAAGCACCATAAAAATATGACGTAAGAAATGAAAATGTATTACTATTTTGTTGCAACCAAACGTAAGATGAATATTAGTAATAGATTAAGAAGTATGTAAAAAGTTAGTGGGTTCGTCAATAGATATGAATATTAAGCACGCAGCTCATGGAATGTAGTAGCAATTCTTTTCTTTGCAATTTTGCAAGACACTTTTTAAACTAAAGCAAGATTCAGTCAAGGTTCTACAGTCAAAATTTGTAGTCCATTTTTTCCGACGCCCATGTTCTTTCGGGTGATCTGAAAATATAGCCATCGCCTTGCTTGACGCCCTTCAAAAATGAACGTCAATTGCAAAGGTGCTTACAAGTCCAGTCATTAGCTTTCAGATCTCTTCTGGAATCGTTTGAAGCATCAGCATGGCAAACGACAAACTCCATCATGGTAGTCTAATTTTCGTAGATGTGCCTCAAAACCTACACTATCAGAGATTTTGAATGTCAGATCTTCTAAGAGTCTATGATATGGGTAGATGTCGCTCCGGGAAAACACATTTACTGTAGATCGCGCGAATCTCGAGAAATGTGCGGATCTGCTCCAACCTCACTCCCTCTCAATAGCAGAGTAATAAGTTGATCAGTGAGCTAAAAGAAAGCTGCTACCCAGAACACTTCATTATCAATCAGTTTCTAAAGATGGAGCAGAAGCTGAACAGAATCAACTTTAACGAAGCCGCTTACACCACAGCCAACTTTGGAATCTGCCAATGGAATCCCAGTGAAAGGATACAGTGGTTCATGAGCAACTACGGCGTCAGGACGATATGCTGATCCTAGGATGCTTTCTGTATGAAAAAGAAATCCTTTTGGGTAGTGTATTATTGATTGGCACTTTTGGGGAACCTTACACTGGAGAAAAGTAAGGAAATTCAAAAGCCAGATACTTAAACAAATAGCCTGTATAAGCACAGCTGACAAAGCATCAGCAGTAGCAGAATACGGTGTCGCAAATAACCATGCATTTAGTCGCAATCCAGCGAGATAACTCAAAAACTGGGAAACTGCAGAAAACGAAAGATAAGGGAAATCGGGAGGAAGTGGAGGGGGGTGAAAAAAAAACTATCATTAGAATGAATGACGTACATAG